TCCTCCCGGGAGAGCGGCATGGCCCAGGGCAGGAGAGTTAAATCTTGGCACATCACTTGGGAAAGGTTGCTGACCCCTGAATTAAAGTGTCCATGCTAAGTGAGGCTAATAGAGTGGACTAAAAATGCCTGATACTTATCTTGTAATATCGGGCATTTATAGCCCACTCTATTAGCCTCATTTAGCACAGACACGCTAATTCCTCCCGGGAGAGCGGCATGGCCCAGGGCAGGAGAGTTAAATCTTGGCACATCACTTGGGAAAGGTTGCTGACCCCTGAATTAAAGTGTCCATGCTAAGTGAGGCTAATAGAGTGGACTAAAAATGCCTGATACTTATCTTGTAATATCGGGCATTTATAGCCCACTCTATTAGCCTCATTTAGCACAGACACGCTAATCGACACTCTAATTAATTGATTTCCCCCCACACACGCACTTTTCTTTCCCTCCCCAATCCCTCTTTTTCTGCTATTTATTTGCAACTCTGGACCCCTTGCTCCATTCATCTGAAGAAGTGGGTTGTGCCCATGTAAGTTCTTGATACCATCTATGTTTTTTGTTAGTCTGTAAGGTGCTGCAGGACTACTTTCAGTTTAAGATTTTTCAGTTGCAAACTAACACAGCTACCCCTCTGAAACCCACAGGGAGGTGATGCAGCAGCTGGAACCAAATGCTCATTACCTGTTGAGCTTTCTGATTGGCCAGGCTTGGGGACAGACAGGAGCTGGGAGCCAATCAAAAACAAAAATAGCAACAAGCTACAATCTACTTTAACCTGATAAGCCAAAAAGTAGGTTACTTTTGGAAATGCCTTGCTAAGCATGCTCCAAGGGCTGATGAGTTACCTCCCTCTTTCCCCTTTGCCCACATCCAGACTGGCTGAAGTTTGTGGACAGCTGTTGCACTCTTCTGACCACTACCATAAAGGAGCAGCAACAGAAGATTTGTTGCATATACATAGCTGTGTATTTCAAAAGTTATGACCCTCAGTATTTAGTAGAGTATTGATTTTTCTAAATGTGGTGTACAGTTTATTTTAGAATAATCAGTTTAGAAATTTTAGAAAAAGAACCTCACATAAGATTTTAGGAATTATTTATTTTTTTACTACAGTTGTACTTTTCCACTAACAGATTTAATAGTATACCATACTCTTGTATCAGAAAAAAAACACATTACCTTTTTCCAGAAGAACACTCTCTCAGAGAAGAGAAAGCGAGTCATTACTCTCTTACTAGTTTTTGATTAGAAAAACTAAAGACTATTTTGGAAATAATGTCAGATGTCAACCTACTGAAAGATTATGTCCTTTCTGTTTGTGATCCAGGCGACTAATACAATACTTTTCATTATTTTCTGCAGATCTGAAGAGGGAAGCCAGTATCTGTCACATGCTGAAGCATCCCCATATTGTTGAATTGTTGGAGACCTACAGTTCAGATGGAATGCTTTATATGGTGTTCGAATTGTAAGTTTCCTTCTTGGTTTTTATCACTGTGTTATTTAAGTAATGACTAGAATTGGGCAATATTTTTCAGTTGAATACTTTCTTTCTCAAAATTGCAAGTTTCTGGGCAGCCAGAATTATTTATGAATTCATGTAGAATTTAGTAAATATTTTTGGCTAATAAAATTGAATTTGAAGTCAAAATATTTTTTCAACATTTTCAAAACTTTTCATTTTGAAACCTTTTTAGGAATGTGTCTGGATTTATTTCAAAAATATAGGATAAACAACTTGAAATTAAACAAATCAAAGAAAAAATCGTTTACATGAAATTAAACCATTTTTAAATGTCTGGTTTAGCCTGGAAACTGACAAATTAATTACTTGGTCAGCTCTAGTAACAAAATACGTTAAGCATAGCAGATGCAATTTAAATCATGTCAATATTTAATATTTGTTGTAGATTTAAAATGAGATTTCCCAATTATTTGTGAAGTACAAAGTGCATCAGTTTTTAGAGTGACACTTTCTTTTAAAAGCACCATGTTTTAGGTATAAAAGTTAAGTTAGTTTACAATGCTTCCTTGAGAGACATGCAACAAAATTATTCTGTTGTATGATCATCCAAAAATGATCCTAATTCTCTTTACAACAGGCTGTTTCTAAATTATTTTTTAAATTGTACCAGAAAAAAAGCAATTGGCTAACATTTTTGAAACCTAGATATCTAAGGTTTATTTCTTCAATACATTTATAGCCCCTGCTTGTAAATGGCCTAATTTTTAAAGACACTGAGTACCTGTAGCTCCCATTAACTTCATTGGTAGATGAGCTTTCCCAGCACTTCTGAAAATTAGGCCACATGTTTAGATGTTGGAATACAAATTTAAGAGTTTAACTTTAGGCTCCTCAGTTTAAAAATATTGGCCATTTCTTATCAAAATAATAGCTGTAGACTGTATCAATACCATCAGCAAACTTTCACATTAAACATTTTTTAACAAAAGGTTTTGAATTAGTCATGCTCAAATATTTTCAGGAGTTTACATCTATCAATAGATTTGAGAGCAAATGTGGCTTTACATTTTTTTGTATTCTCAGTATAGAGAGAAATGGGCAGAGAAGACTGGTTTTAGCTTCCAACTTGCAAGTGACCACAGAAAACAAGACACATACAGGCAGTCCCCGAGTTACGCCGACTTATGTCGGATCCGCAGTTACGAACGGGGTTTGCTCCGCGTCTCCCTGGTCTGCTGGAGACCAGCAGTCCAGGGAGACGGGGAGCAAAGCCTCTGAGGACGCCGGCAGCGGGGCAGCCGCGGGGGGGCTGGGGCGGCCCCCGCGGGGGAGAGGGGGAGCAAAGCCTCTGAGGACGCCAGCAGCGGGACAGCCGCGGCGCGTCTGGGCTGTTCGCTGCCCGCGTGCTCCGCGGCTTTGCTCCCCATCTCCCTGGTCTGGTGGTCTCCAGCAGACCAGGGAGACACGGAGCAAACCCCGTTCGTAACTGCGGATCCGACATAAGTCGGATCCACATAACTCGGAGATTGCCTGTATGTGTCTTGTTTTCTGTGGTCAGTTGCAAGTTGGAAGCTTGGTCTCCAGTTGGTCTCCACTTGCAAGTTGGTCTCCAGCAGACTAGGGAGACGTGGAGCAAAGCCGCGGAGCACGCGGACAGCCCAGACGGGCCTTTTGTCATCCCTTCCCTCCTTACAGAAAATGCAAACCATACCCAATAAACAGATTCCTAATAGGGGTGACACGTGTTCCTAGATGCACCCTACTAGGAATATCATACCCAAAACTGAATAATATTGCCATCCCTATAATGTGGGATTTAAAGAAAGATAGATATAAAATAAAAATATGGCAAAGAGCCCCATATAACATTTGTACTGAACAAAATGTATATTTGAAAACTGAAGCTCCTATCTCTCCAGACCCTTGAGTAAAATCTCTTCTAACCAGTAGGTGGAGATAGACACACATTAACGAACAAAATGTACTTTTTGTCATCTTCATTCCATCTTGGACTTTCCCACTTTAAATTAGTAGAGTAATGTGTGATGAAAAACCACTATTATTTTAGTAAACGGTGAATTTTGTGTGATGATAATATCAGACTCTAATTACAGGCAGTCCCCGGGTTACGTACAAGATAGGGACTGTAGGTTTGTTCTTAAGTTGAATCTGTATGTAAGTCGGAACTGGCATCCAGATTCAGCCTGTTGAAACTGATCAGAGGCTGATTCCAGGAAGCCCGGGACAGAGCAACTCTGCCTCTGGCTTCCTGTAGTCAGCTGCTGGTCACTTTCAGCAGCGGCTGAATCTGGACGCCAGTTCTGACTTACATACAGATTCAACTTAAGAACAAACCTACAGTCCCTATCTTGTACGTAACCCGGGGACTGCCTGTAATTAGAGTCTGATATTATCATCACACAAAATTCACCGTTTACTAAAATAATAGTGGTTTTTCATCACACATTACTCTACTAATTTAAAGTGGGAAAGTCCAAGATGGAATGAAGATGACAAAAAGTACATTTTGTTCGTTAATGTGTGTCTATCTCCACCTACTGGTTAGAAGAGATTTTACTCAAGGGTCTGGAGAGATAGGAGCTTCAGTTTTCAAATATACATTTTGTTCAGTACAAATGTTATATGGGGCTCTTTGCCATATTTTTATTTTATATCTATCTTTCTTTAAATCCCACATTATAGGGATGGCAATATTATTCAGTTTAGGGTATGATATTCCTAGTAGGGTGCATCTAGGAACACGTGTCACCCCTATTAGGAATCTGTTTATTGGGTATGGTTTGCATTTTCTGTAAGGAGGGAAGGGATGACAAAAGGGGAGATAAATATATGTAAACACCCTTTTAACTGTAGATTTGAGGTATTTTTGTAACTCTAATGCTATGAATTATCAAATCAATCATGAACATTTTTGTTTTTATATTACTAGTTTTTAAAAAGAAGTTAAAGTTTATTGAGGCAGTTTGGATACTCCTGTTAAATTATAGTGTTTCACCTCATGAAAATGGTTTTTTTTTGTTTGAAAATAATCATTTTACCTATCATTGTTTTAAGGGAGAGTGTAGTAATACAGTTTTTCAGCAGTTTACAATTTCTTGCTCAACAATAACTGTTAAAAATGGCTGATTCTCCCCCCCCCCACACACACACACCCGCCCCAGGGGCCGAGTTAAGTCTGATAGCTAATTTGGAGTGGGGGACTCAGTTACAAATGATTGAAAAATCACCTCCTGAAGAATGCAAAATGAAGCTTCTTCTGCACATTTATCAAAGCCTATAGAATTTTTGTCCTCTGTTCCAAATGGTAATGTTCCTTCCTAGCCTGACAAGAACAGGAGAGTTTTCAGGCTTTGGGAATAATATTCAAGGAGGGGAAAACACACACAAAGTAAAATAATGCTGTTCCTTGCTCTCCATCTTCTCTAAATCCTTCTAAATTCACTCCTTCTCCCTGTACTTCATACCTTGAACAATGGGGATTTCATTTTCTGTTTTACCACTCCCCTGCACACCCAGGCCATGCATATACATACACTATTGCCATCTGGTGCTTTTCTTTGTCTCCCTGCTTTCTATCAATCTGTGTTTATGGTTTAGGTCCCTACTGGCCTACCCTGCTTAAGTAGAGCAAGCCACATATTTTTTCAATATGGTAAGCTGTGTTGGCACTCTCACCAGTATTCACAAATGCACTTTGCATATATGCTAATAGAATCATCTCCACTTATAATAGGGTTATCTCTGAAGTTGAGAATCAGGAAGTAGGAGGACAGTAAAGATGTGGCCTAAGAAATCATTGCCTCAGATTTGAGGGTTTTTTAAAGCCATGTCTGTTTACTTATGATATGTTGACTGCCAAGTATTTTTTTTTTCTTTCTAAGCAATAAATTACATGTAGTACTGATGGTACTTTATTCTGCAAGTCCCAGAGCACAGGGCCAAGGGTTTTAATTACAGTACTGTAAAATGATTATGTATACCTTAGGGACACTCACTGTAGTAATTAAAAGGATTTTTTAAAAATTGGAAATGTAAACAGGAATTTACATCTATTTTACCATTCTGGTAGCTGAGAATTATGGTACAAATACTCTGAATTGGCTTTTAAATAACATAATCTTACTGATATTTAATATTAGTATACAAAAATCTTCACTGTGAAATAGTTTTGTTACACACACAACATAGCTGACACAATTCCAAACTGGAAGTAGTGAAAAGAAAAATCACGTATAAATACATACCCTGTCTTTCATCCACAGACATTCCTCAGTCACACTAAAGCTACTGTACATTGCATGTACTGGAACTGAAACTCCGCCCTTCCCTCTAGCTTCCCTTTTCCATATACTTTTTATTAAATTACCCGATCCTAACACTATTTGTTGTGAATAATCAGTGATGTGTTGTGCTGGGTAGGAATAGTTTGATAAAGGCGGGTAATGGAAAGATGATGTTCATAGCAAGCTAAGATTGTGGTGTGTGGTATGCAATATTTAGTAGTTGTGGCAATAAGATGTGTACCACTGGGTAGAGCAGAGAAGAGAGTTTACATTTGGTGGCTTAACTTTTTCTTGGTGTTTATATCATCTATATTATGTCTGTAACAGATCTAACAGCTTCACAGTGATGTATGTTTATTGAAATTGCTTACATTTTAATTTTTTTATTTTTAAAAATTCTTAAGTGGCTGCTTGACACTGAGCAAAGTGGGAGATGGCTCACCTGTGGGGTGGATGTAAATGCAGCAGCTGATGAGGACCTCATGCACTGTTAGTTGCTGCACATGAACATTTTGTGTTCAAAGCCATACATAAAGCTTTCTCTGTTACACACAAAATGTACCATCTGCTGCTCCTAAACTGCACCTGAATTTTTACACAGTAACAGCAGCAAATATATAAAATTGTACATAACATTGAATTATCAGCAGACAGTTTACACAGCATCATGTATGCAGCAGAATGTGCAGTTTCTGTTCACTATGATTGGTACATACTCTTTCAGCTACTAGAGTGACTACTGAAAATTACCCTAAACCAGTCATGTCAAACATGCAGCCTGTGGGCCACATGTGGCCCAATCTAATTTTTTTGTGGCCCACGACTACATCTTTATAAGTTATCTAAGTGCGGCCTGCCCAGTTACATTGTTTATAACAGGGGTGGCCAACCTGTAGCTTCTGGATTACAGAAATGCAACTCCTGCTGGTTCTGAGCTGTGCATCCGGACTGCTCAAGGCCAGCCGCTCTGTGCACATGCCCCAGAGCCTGGAGGGAGAAGCGCGTGGTGGTGGCTCGGTCGATGCTGAGGGTGCCTGGCTTGAGGGGAGGGGGATTGCGTTGGGGGCGGGGCTGGGAGAGCCTGGCTCTGGAAGAGGGGTGAGGCATTGGGTGCCTGGCTCTGGGGGAGTGGAGGGGGATTGGGTTAGAACAGAGGGGCTGAGGGCACCTGACTCTGAGGGAGCAGAGGGGGACTGAAGAGATCTGATAATCCGTAACTAATTATAGGCTTATATAAGGTATACCATTACAGTCATACATTATTAAGCAGCATTGCAGGCATTGTTCTGTTTGTTTGCCTCAGCGAAATACAAATAAAAAGAGACCCACTTGCTACAAAGCCTACAATATTGGCCTCCTGTGCTTCTGCAGATTCTCTGGTTTGACACCACTCAAGTTCTGAGGATGAGAGAAGTATAACCTATAATCTTAGACTTGATACTAAAGATGTGAAAAGTTAACCGGTTAACCAGTAAGCATCACCCTTAGGGTTCCAGTTCACCAATGGGGCCAGGAGCAGCTCCCCACCCAGTATGGGAGCGAAGGGGTTGGGGTTTGGAAAAAGGGGTATGGACCTGAGGGAAAGTAGGTTCTGGGACGTATATCAGGCCCACATGATCTTTTTCTCTGTGTGAGCTCAGATCTGGGTGGCTCTGGCCACTCTCCAGGAGTCTTAGTCTCTCTTCCTTTTTTACTCAAATGAGCTGGAACGGGGGGGCTATCCCACTGGGTTTCTGAGGCCCTCTTGCTGCCCCCCCAATGTGTGCCAGGATCTGGGGGGTACAGTGCTTATTTACAGGGGTTGAACCTTTCATATCCCAGTAACTTGAACAGAGTTCTGGGACTCTTTGCCTTTTGTAAGGCTCTGAGACTCCCAATTTGCCTCCTCAATGAGAGCCAGGCTCTGGAGACGTCTTACTCCTTTGGTGGAGAGCTGATTGGGCCTATTTCATGTATGTGAGCGCTGTAAGGCACTAAGAGTATGACACTCACCAAGATTAATGAAATGGTTCATGGTGTTTCAGAGATGGTTTTATTGTATTCACCTGGAAGTGTTCTCCTTCAGTTGATATCATACAGATATGAATGGGACACTGATTCTTTCAAAGCCTCTTAGGGTGCAGAT